CTAACAAAGAAAAAAAAATGATTGAAGTTTTCGGCTTTTGTAAGGTCGATATTTGTTTTGAGTTCATTTTGAGAGGATTAAGTTCAGCCGCTTTGTTTTTCGCCTCCAGTAACAGCATTTCTTTTTCGAGTCTTTCTAATTCTTGTTTTTCCAACTGAACAAGAATTTCATTTTATTTCAAGAATTCAACTCCCTGTTCGATACCTGTTTCCTTTCGAATACTGCGGTAGCTATAAACTTTTTAAAAAATTCTGTAACTCTTTTTTTAAATATCTCGGTTGATTCTATTTTCACTTTCAATTTAGTAATATTGTCGGCGGAGTCACTTTATCATAACAAATGCATTCTCCTCTCTTTCATTTTCTGAAAGGCAGCCAACGTTATTCTTTAGTTGCATCCACTAAGCTGAAGTTGAATCCGGGATATGTCCACAATATATCCTTTGAAGCACTAGTCAAACGTCAGTTTCCACTAACGACAAAGCAATATGAAAAATTTCTCCGTTTAAAATAACATTCCCAAGAATTTCAGAAAGTTAATTTTCTTTGTAGGTACAGTGGGGGGTACAGTGGGTCAATTTTAAGATATTTAAATATAATTCTAAAAATATTCTTAGAAAAGAATATCAAACTTATGCATTATGTTTTCTAATCTATTAGCTCTCCTAATTAAATTTATTACAATTTAGCAAAATGTTTTTTTACAATAAAAAGACATTTTTCTAGAGTACTACTTGCTGACCCACTGTGCCCCATAAAGGGGTACAGTGGGTCAACTAACGAAAAATACAATAAATAATTTTATTTCATTCATTATTGAGTTTTTAAACTTATTTTATTGCCTGACAATATTTAGTATTAAGTTAGACAGTAAAGTAGATCAATGTTTATAAATGAAAAGTATATTTTCTTGCTCTAATATACACATACACTACATTGCATAAAAAAATTAAAGAAAAAGGTTTTAATTAGACATTACTTTATTTTAAGTGCTATTTAGTTTACAAAACTTTTGGTTGTATAGTTATTTTTAAGACATTAAATCAAAAACTTAATTTACAATAACTTAATTTACAATAACTAATGAACATTATATGACAGGAAATCTACAGCAAAAGTCAGTTTTGTCATTGTTCTCTTAGCTCCTTGAAATACATTTGGTTTGGGCAACTTTCTCACTATATCTTTACTGTCTGCTGTATAAATGTCTGCCTCATCAAAGATAAAGGCTTAACCTGGCAGAATTCTTTTCATGTAGTGAACTTCAAATTCATGTTCTTTCTTGCCTACAACTTCAGCAACATAGTGTTTAAAACTGTATTTTTTTTGCCATGAACTGTTACTAATATAAAATCTCCAATGTCAATATTAAAATCTTCTACTTCTTCAAGTTCCAAATCCTCAAAGTCAGATTCGTTTGAACAATTTCCTGAATAACAATTCCCTGGTTTATTTCTTACTTAAGTGTAAATATTTATACTAATTTAGTTGACTATACTTAAGATAGCTAATAGGTTTTTGCATTTCCACAGACTAGCGTCAACAAAATGAATTTCAGTAGTTTATTTTAATAAATGTATCACCGATGTATGTATAAACTCTTTTATTTANAGTTGACTATACTTAAAATAGCTAATAGGTTTTTGCATTTCCACAGACTAGCATCAACAAAATGAATTTCAATAGCTTATTTTAATAAATGTATCACCGATGTATGTATAAACTCTTTTATTTAATAAACTGGTATACAAATTAAATCAAGGTAATTTAAACATTAAAGTGTAAAAGATTAAAAGAAGGACAATGAATATATAAATGGGGGTACAGTGGGTCACTGACCCACTGTACCCCATTTCAAGTGACCCAGTGTGCCCCACATGTGCCATTTTAGTATATTTCACCTCAAACTCTTGCTCCTTAAAATATTCATTTAAATAAAATATCATACAAAATGAGATCAGTTAGACTATATAAACATACCACATAACTCATATTTAATTGACAAATTTAAAGTGTAATTACAAAAAGTCTTACTTACTTCAAATTTCCTGCAGAGGATCAGAAAATAAAATGGCTCTTTCTTCCTTTCACAATCAAATTGAGCTGTTTACCTTTTTACACAGAGTAGAGCTGTTTCGTGTCTACTTTACAAAATTTTTTCATCTGAAAACAATTTACTGAAGCAAAAATATCTTCACTGACCCACTGTACCTCCTGACCCACTGTACCCCCTTCTCCCCTACCTATACTGATCTTTTAAGAGAGAATGAAATTTAAATGCTGCTGCACGAATACGCATCCCCTGCCCTGCACAAGATATCAAAAGGGAAAAATTCACTGCTCGGTCGGAGTTTCTAAAATCACGGACTCAAGCCCCCATAATTTATAATTGTAAAATGTGAGGCAAAGGTGGAAAAAAGGCAATAGTTAAAAAAGAAGGCATAACAATGAATTAGAGACATCAAAAGCTAAGTATATCTAAATTTAAGATGTCTGTACGCAGCATCGTAGAAAGAATGCATGTAGCTTCTTTTAGTTCATAAAAATTAGGCAGCGGGAATTTTCCCTACCCGAATCTCTGGTGCCGTTGTACAATTTAGTTGTGGTTTTCTTAATCCTCCACACATAATTGGTTCTCATTGGCTTTCTTTGCATCAAGTTAAGTTGTAATTGAGTATAACGCAATAATTACCATACGGATACATCCCCCTAATTCATCACGATGTCTGTTTCAGTTTCATTCAGTTAAAGAAACATTCTTTATAGGATATTTTGCTTTAAAATAGCTCACATGTACACTTTGCGTAATGTGACAATCTAATCTTTTAATTTTTTTAAACCTTTATTTCCATTCTTTTTATATAACAGTTTAAATTTATTTCATGTAAAATTTTTCAAATAATTTTCTTAAAATTTCTTGCCTGGCAAAATTTCACTTTTCTTTTCATAAAATATTAACTTTCTGTTCCCCCTACCTCACTGGTCAACGCGGTCATTGCACTTCCTGTGAGTAGAAATACCCCTCTATTCCCGCCTTTCTTTTTTCTTTAGTCATTTTTTAAGGAGGGCTAAATTAACAGATTTCTTTCATTTGATTTTCAAACTCTCCCCTCTATAAATTTAATTGACAAAAGGTTTTCTGGGTTCACACCAGTTAATGAATTTTTTAAAGATTTTTAGCACATTTTCAATCGTGCATGCTAGCTTGTTACACCAAGGGGTGCCCTCTGCCTCTCTCTGCGAGATGCGCACTTATGTCCGTTTCCAGGGAATTTACTTTTATATCCTTTTTTTTAGCCTTTAATTTTAATTAAATCCACAAACCGTAATTAATTTCTGTAAATTAAATATTTACATTTAAAACTTTCATTTTTTTTAACATTAAAGACCCTTTCAAATTTAAGCTTTCGGTATTTATCCGTTTCAACCGTTAAATTTCTCGTTTTCCTAAATTTTATTTTTATGCAAAACTCTTTTTTTTTTTTTTAAAAAAAATCTCTTGTCACCCATTTAGAATAAAGACCTTTTGTATGTTACTAAATGTATCAAAAGATATGTTACTAAATAATATGCTAGTCTGTTCATAATTAAATGTTGAGCTGAAATTAAAGAAATGTGTGAATTCATTTGTTGATTTTTTGGTATTTCTTGTATTTCTCCAGTGTGTGGTGAGTACTTTTAATTATTGTTATCGGTATTTGTTTTTTTTCTTCTTTTTGGAATCATTTCTAAATTGCGTTATGATATATACATTTATATTTGGATACAGCATATCATTGTCTTATTTATCTTTTATTTATGATTTTGATTAACTTTAGTTTACACCTTATTCTAAATTTGGTGATACCAGTTTATCCAATTTGTTCAAACCTCACACTTTGTGACTATTTGAATCTATTGTTTTTATTTTTTTATTATTTTTATAATCGTCGTTGAATAGCCGACACAATTTTATGCGTTTTACAACTTCTAATGTTCAACTCCGTAGCCTTGTAATTTTGAACCAAATCCAAAAGACAAGGGAACTCCTAGATCAAATATTGAGAGAAATTTGACTTCGTGGAGGACAATTTTGATGGAACTAACCCGCATTTGCGTTACATGGAGAGGAAGACCACGAGAACCTCCCACAGTTAGCCTGAAGGCAAAGGGACTCTAATCCATGATCAGTCTACCACTGAGAATATTTCATGTCAACACTGTGGTCGGTGCAAGCCAGCCACAGTGCTCACGTGACCTATTGGTTTATTGTTATCCTACAATAGCATTGTATTACCACTTTCCTTAATGATCCCCTTAATTTAATTACTTTTGATTCTATTTTCGGCCTTAATTTGTTTATTATGGAATTCAATAATTGCCTGTTCATGCATACTACATAGTACATATACATACTTCAATCCATTATGTATTTTAAAATAAGTACTTTTAAGTAAAATTAAGTAAATAAATTTACTTAGTTTGCACCATACACAATGTAATTATAATTTTAAACGGCAGAATAGCACACAAATGTTGTTTTTGCATTACAAGTAAAGCAGTGATTGCAAAGTACAGATTAAGGTTCTTTATAAAAAAAATTTAAAAGAAAACTGTAATGAAACAAGATGTCAGACAAATAGGGTGAGTGAGTAAAAATGCTATCAATGTGATAGGGTGAAGTCACTTTTAGATAGTGTAATTCAATTAAAACTAATTTAAATAGGTTTTTTTTCTTTTGTAAGCAACTAATAAACGTTAATTATTTCAATATGAATACATTGATCAATACAATAAAAAAAAATGCTTTCATTTGATGAACATCAAATACACTTTTTATGTTTATTTAAAATCATTGAATTTTTAACAATGTATTTCTAAAAAAAAGTAATTAAAACTTTATATTCCTAACCACAAGTACAATCCAACTGCCAAATTCAGATTAATTAAATCCATTACAGATTTTAAGTTCATATATTAAAAAAATTCCCAAGCTATAACAATTCGAATACTATTTTTCAGGTTTGGTTGTTCCAGTGTCCAGTGCAGAATGCATTGGTATAGAATGTGATGACCTTCCTGACTGCTCAAATAATTCGTGCCCCTGTCTTCATCCCAGTAAAATATACTGCAGTATCTACTATATCTGTATAGATGATATGGTACAGAAATTTAGTTGCTCTTCTGGCCTGCTTTTTGATGAAGAGAATCTGACATGCGACTATAAAGACAACGTAGATTGTAGTAAGTGAATAATTTAATAAGTATTTTTCTAGTATAAAACACATTTGAAATTTACTCCCAAATTGAATTAAAACGAGAGTATTGTTTCTTTCTCAACTCTTTTATTTAAATTATCTTAATTTGAAAATATTTTATATAAGTAATTGGTTTGTTATTGTCAAAAACTATGACTCGTATTTTCAATGTTTTTAAAGCGTATTAATTTAAAATCAATCAATGAGATAGTTAATCCTACTCCAAAATGGCATTTATTTTTGCTCTTTTTATTTTTATTAATTTTGATTAAAATAAAATAAAGCTTTTAGCAAATAATTTAAAAAGTTAAAAATTTATAGATTTTTTTACTAATGAGAAGTAAAAGGTTTTTTTTATAGATATTTTTCATTTGATATTATATTTATTATACATTATGAGAGTAACATCATCAAAATTTCATGACAAGCTAGGATATGAAGATGCATTTCAAATAGTGAGACATAGTTTTTAAATTTTCAATATAGATGCAGTTCTATTAAAATTATTAGAGCATTAAATATATTTAAAAAAGTTTTTAAAAAGTTAAAAATGTATTAAAATTAAATATTTAAAAGAAAACATCTAAATATATTTCATGCACTACCTAAATGCTATATTTTCAAGAAACAATTTTAAAAAAATATAGAGATGAAAAAAAAAAAAATTTTAAGCACTTAAAATGTTTCAGAAAAGTGAAAGGAACAGTTGTGATACATGAGTAATGAGTTAAGGGAGTAAATTATAAAATAATACTTAATTATCTAACGGCCGGGATAGGCTGGCTGGTAGGACATTGGGACCATGGTCAAGAGGTCTTGAGTTTGAATCTTGCTGGCAGAAGACTCCCTTTGCAATAAATGATGACTGGTGAAAGTTAAATCTGTCAGGTCACAAAGTCTTTCATGTTCCTATAAACAAATCAATACCTCTCCTCTGGGGGTACTGAATTGGAGATTGTTCGTTCTCTGGTTCAGGTCAAAATTATGATCTGTGGATGGATGAATGGATGTATGAATGGATCCACCCTATAAAGAGGGTTGCGATGTATACGTGTGGCAAAAGTCGAATTCTTGGCCATAGATGGCACCCCCTTTGCTTTGCTGGCATACGACAACAATTACCCCAAAAATAAAAATTATTTATTGTATTTTCAGAAAATAGGACACAAGTGCCACCTTCAATTTCATCCACACAGCAAGTTTCAACAGTCAAAGACTTTGAACTTCACTCAACAATTAAATATTCACATTTGTCAGAGATAGAAACAACTCCAATAACAGTAAACGATATAGCATCATCATCCCAAACAGATGAGCAAGAAACTACAGATGGCAGTAGTACTTTAACAATTGCAGATAAAGATGAAGCCAAAACCTCTACAAGTGCATCAACAATAAATGTTACTGAAATAAGTTCTTCTGAAATGGATCCTGAAACTGTAAGTTCTACATTGCAGGCAAATGCAACAGACCAAAGACCAGTTAGTGAAGAAGTTACTTCAGAAGCAACCAGCCAGAACCAAGATGAAGAGACTTCAGAAGCAACCAGCCAAAGCCAAGATAAAGATACTTCAGAAGCAACCAGCAAAAGACAAGATGAAGATACCTCAGAAGCAACCAATCAAAGCCAAGATGAAAATATTTCTGAAGCAACTAGTCAAAGTAAAAATGACGAGACCACAGAAAATACTTTGGTACCAGTTTCTATAGATGATTCATCTACAGAACACTCTAAAAGAACAGTCAAACCAATAACTGAAAAAACAACTATAAGCGAAATTAATACTGAAACAACACAAAGCAAAATTACTCAGAGCACTACAATAACTTTTGACACATCTTCTGATTCCTCCAGCAAGAGCTATGGTACATCAACACCACCTGATAACATAACTACAAAAGGACAGTCTTCTGAAGAGACATCAGATGGAAATGACCCTATTTACAACTTCTCTTGCCCTTCAAGATTTGGTCTCTTTCCAGATTTAGAAAATTGCAATTTCTTCTATCAGTGTTCCAACTTCCTTCCATACCACATGCAGTGTCCCTCAGATCTTCATTTCAATCCAGTTTTACAAGTTTGTGATTGGCCATATGAAGCTGGTTGTGGTAAGTTGATGAAATATTTTAAAACTGTTTAAACTTCTTGCAAATTTGTAACGTATGTTATAGAAGTAAACTATCAAAAATATAAATAAATAAAAAGATAATAGTTCTTTAAAATTAATAATAGCTTCATTAGTTTATAAAAATTAATATAAAAGTTATTCTATTATTATTTTGTTTCGAAATTTAAATATACCAATTTCATACAAAGATAAGGAAAGTATTTTATAAAATATATTCGAGTATGCAGTTATACAATATGTGAAATTCAGCCTTTTTGTAAAACTGAACCTGGTGACTGAGATAAACTGTAGTATTAATTATTCACTTCAAATTTTACTAAACCAAGACAATGTAGATTTCATTATGTATCCCTAAATAGGAAATAAAAGTATAGTCTTCACAGATCCTTAAATTTCTTAAAAAATAGTATGTTAAAGTTGCATTAATTCATTTGCAATTTATATTTATATAAAAACAAGACATTATGCAAAATGTTTCTTTTTAAAACAAAATGAAACTTTAGAATAAAATTATTATTTTTAAAATGAAAAGCCAAAGAAAAATTAGAAAGCAAGAAGAAAAATTAGAAAGCCAAACTTTATTACATGTATATTTATATATAAATTAATTAAGTCTGTAGTAAAAAGATAAATAAATTAGAAAAACTCTTTCCAACATTGTAAAATTTGTTATAAAGAAATAAAAAGTACACCTAAATAAAAAATATATTTTATAATTTATAAATATTTCTAAACTTTTAAAAACAAGTTTTTTAAAAAAAGAAAAAAATAAATAAATACCTAACTGAATTTGCAAAAATGTGTTGGTTTAAATAATGCACTTTTTCCACTGTTAAATTTTTTGTTTCAAAAATAAAAACACAAAAATATAAAAAAAAATTAATTTTTTAATAAATAAGTAGGTAAATTAAATGAAAAAAAATTCCTTTTCCTCTTATAATTTTATTCTATTTTTAGAAAAGACGACCTCAAAAGATATAGAAACATCAACATACGTCACATCTACTATGAATGCCTCATCAACATTTCAGCCAACTAGTATATCAGATTATGTGTCATCTACAGTCAAGAACACTTTTTCGACAGAAAAAGAAAGTCTTAGTACTAAGGATGTCAATGAAATAACTGAAAACAGCACAGATATAAAAACATTGATATCTAACCTTCCTACTTCTTCAATGATAGATATCACTACTACAAGTAAACCAAATAACTTTACTAGTGTAGAAGTATCTTCAGATAATATTTCTCCAAATGAAAACATCACTATCCAACCACTAACAGACAATGATGAAACATCTGTAAACAAGACCAATTCAACTGAAAAAACAAACCAGTTTGAATCTACTGTAACTGACAGCATAACAAAAGCAGATAATGTAACAGGAAAAACATCTTCAAGTAAATTTACCACAGAAATTGATATTTCTAACATTACTAATACAACTTTGAATCCACAAACAAAAAAAGATTTTTCTGAAATAACAGTTAATTTTGAAACTACCATAACTGATACAACAAAAAAGGAATCAAATGTAACATACTTTTCCACAGAAGAAACTACTGGAGAAAATGACATGAATAGCACAACATTAAATCCAGAGTCAAAAACTGTTTCAGTTGAGGTAAAGAGTGAATCTGAACCAATAGAAGTTAGCAGTTCATCAGAAGTTGAAACAAGCAGTGAGCCTACAAACACTACATCAGAAGTTGAAACAAGTAGCAAGTCTGAGCCAGGAGAAACTGATACTACAACAGAAGTTGAAGCAAGCAGCAAGTTTGAGCCAATAGAAACTGATAGTACAATTGAAGTTGAAACAAGCAGTGAGTATCAAGAAACAGATACTGTATCAGAAATTGAAACAAGCAGTGAGTCTCTAGAAATAGATACTGCATCAGAAGTTGAAACAAGCAGTGAGTCTCGAGAAACAGACACAGTATCAGAAATTGAAACAAGCAGTGAGTCTCTAAAAACAGATACTGTATCAGAAATTGAAACAAGCAGTGAGTCTGAGCCTAGAGAAACTGATAGCACATCAGAAGTTGAAACGAGTAGCGAGTCTGAACCTAAAGAAACTGATAGTACAATTGAAGTTGAAACAAGCAGTGAGTCTCTAGAAACAGATATTGTATCAGAAATTGAAACAAGCAGTGAGTCTCTAAAAACAGATACTGTATCAGAAATTGAAACAAGCAGTGAGTCTGAGCCTAGAGAAACTGATGGCACATCAAAAGTTGAAACAAGTAGTGAGTCTGAACCTAAAGAAACTAATAGTACAATTGAAGTTGAAACAAGCAGTGAGTCTCGAGAAACAGGCACTGTATCAGAAATTGAAACAAGCAGTGAGTCTCTAAAAACAGATACTGTATCAGAAATTGAAACAAGCAGTGAGTCTGAGCATAGGGAAACTGATAGCACATCAGAAATTGAAACAAGCAGCGAGTCTGAACCTAAAGAAACTGATAGTACAATTGAAGTTGAAACAAGTAGCGAGTCTGAATCTAGAGAAACAGATACTATATCAGAGATTGAAACAAGCAGCAATTCTGGGTCCAGAGAAACTGACACTGCATCAGAAGTTGAAACCATGAAAACGAAAATTGTAACAACTTTTGAAAATGTAACTGAAACTATTAAAAATATAACTGATGCACCAGAATTAAAAACTTCCTCCAGAAAAGCAGATTTTGAATACACAGAAACTGTAACTGATTTGCAATCTAGCACACTACAAAATAATTTTACAGCCAGTGCTTCTGAAATTATTTCTACAACTTATAATATGACAACACTAGATTATAATCAAAAAACAATTTCTACCCTGAAAGAAAATATAACTTCAACTGATACAGCAACACAAGAGTTTGTAACATTCACCACTAGCCCTGTGCCTGTGGTAAATATTTCAACTCAAAACACTAGCGAAATACTAGAATCAACTACAAATGTCTTAACTAATCAGACTGTTCAAACATCTCAATCTGATAAAATGGTTACAACAACAGAGACTTTATCAGAGGAAACTTCATCAGATGAAATTGTTCAGAATTTTACATGCATCTCCAGATTTGGCCTATACCCTGATCCAGAAAATTGTAATTACTTTTATCAGTGTTCTCATTATATTCCATATCACATTCAGTGCCCATCTGATCTCCACTTCAATCCCATTCTACAAGTTTGTGATTGGCCATATGAAGCTGGTTGTGGTAATATTCATTACAATTAATACTATTCATGGTGTCTTGTTAATGTGGTGAAAAATTTCTAAGGCACAGATAGAGATTGAGAATTGCTTAGGAACCCATGACAGGAAACGTTACCATATGCCGCCAGGGACGATTCTCAATTGCTTTTTCTTACGTACTTCTCTTGATCTTAATTACATGTCCTCTAATAAACATTATTGAAAACTGGTAAGATTGACAAGTTAGTCGCCAAATTAGTAAGTTACGATAAAGTAGTTAATCCTAAATTCATTTGAATGCAATTCTTAATAATAATTATAAGAATACATAAAATTAAGATAGTTTAGGCAGGGTTGCCATAGAAAAAAAATGGACGAAATAGTTGCTTTTAGTAGCCTAAAGCATGAAAATAGTTGCCGAAAACTATGAATATAGTGGCCTAAATAAGAACAAAAATATGACTAAAATTTTGTTAAATACTCAATTGTCATATACCATTATCCATTTACTCAAGTTGGGGGCAAATATGATAATTTTTATATAAACATTAATGTTCTAGCACAATTTTCCCTTCAATCAATAATTTATCTATGAAATATATATATATATATATAGTGTGAAAAGTGATTACTCAAATTCGAAATTCATGCATCGTAATAATGTATTAAATTTTTTTGTTTTAAAAAATCATGCGGAATTTCGAAGCAATAGCCATTGAGAAGGTGACCGGGAAACGAAATAGACTCACAAAGGAATCTGCAGATTGAACGAATTAAAAAGTGAAGACTCAAATGTGCAATTCAAAATTTTCAAAATTTTTTACGAAAAAAAAGTTCAGTGTGTTCGAAAGCTATCGTGGGCAGCAGATTTTGAACCCAGTTTATGCTAAAAAACAAACAAACATCGCTAGGAGTACAGAAAAGTCTCCCAATAGAATCCTCTTCCTGAAAATAGTTGCTTTTTTAGCCTTTTCAGGCAAAAAAAGTTGCCAAAGTCGCCTCATGCCAAAAATGGTTGCATTTTAGTCGCTTGTGGCAACACTGTTTAGGTAAATAAAAGTACCTGTTCAAAAAGACACAAAGAAACAGTTCATAATAGGGAAGCGCTATTAGCGGTGCACAATGACAATTTTGATCATGAATTCCTGTGCAACTCCTTTTATCTCCCCAAGAAATTTTTCACAATATTAACGAGACACACTGTGTATATTCACCTCACTATATATTAACTCACATATTTAAAAAAAAATAAAAAATAAATTATAAATGATAAAAATATAATAAATAACCAATTACTTTAAGTTGTAAGCATAATAAACATACAAAAAACTTCTTTTTTTTTAATGAGAGCTATAAGCTAGCAAATATCACTGATGTAATCTTTAAAATATTTGAAGGAAAACTGTCTGCAGTCTCATTTTTACTAATGGCAATTCTCAACTAATGAAAATGTTTCAATATTTAGAAGCCTCTCCTGAATTATTTAATAAAATTTCTGAACGATTATTAGGATCAGGAGCTAAAATTGTCCTTTTTACCCACCATTTAAATTTTAAGATATAGGCACAAATGATTTTGAAGTTATAAGAGTCAATAATTTACACACAAACCCTTCATTTTATTATTATAGATAATGGGAGTAATACTTCATTAAATGGAGAATGAAATAAGAAGGCATAAATTTTGCTATTATTTTAAACAAAATATAAAAATAACCCAAAAATGAGAGAAATTTATAGCTATGTCAAAATCATGTCATCAGGGGTAGCACTGATGCATTGAGGTACAATATCTAAGTAGCTAATTTTTTCAAAATGAATTTAACTACTTTCTTAAGTATAAGTACTATTTCCCTTTATAATAGTTTTTGGGTCTTATATCATTGCCTCATTTATTAAACAAGATATTAACCATTTGGCATTGAGAACAATTAAATATTTTGATTACTAAATATTTCAATGCATTTATCGACAAATACAATATTTTATGCCAGCTTTCTTCTTTTACCATATTCTTGTTAGCCTATTTAATATATTATATTAATATTCTATTTAAATTCAATAGTAATCAGTACTGACTTTAAACTTCTAAAAATTATAAATTTTTTCTTGGTAATTTGTAACTTAATTCTTTGATCGTAAATTAATGTACAAAAATAGTAGTTTAAAGGTTGAAGAAATTGATCGGCATTTAAATTTTTCATAATAAAGTTAAAAACAAATATGTAAAAAAAAAAAAAATCAAAGTTAGAATAGAATTTGCTGAATCGTTTTCGCAATTCACAGATTTCAAAAGTTATTTTCAAACATTTACTAGTGGTGTAATATTTATGTCAGATACATCGGCTCAATAATACTAATGATAATAATACAAAAAATTGCAAGCTTTAATTTCGAATAGTGTAATAATTTTAAATGGTTTCAATCAAATTAAGCTACTTTATATTTAGATGGAGTGGTGTACACATTACACTACCAGTGTTCTATGTTATTTGCTTTATAATAAATTATTTATTATATTATAAAATAATTATTATAAAATAAATTATTATAAAATAAATAACATCAATTTCCCTACTTATATTGTAAAACAGTTTATATTTTATTTATATATATTTATTTTTATTTTCTAATTTTATAAGATTTTACTTCTTAAAAGTCTTATAGCAATTCTTTAGAAGGAAAATATGTATATGGATTAAAAAAGGTCACAATAATCATTATACACACTGGCTTAAAATAAATAAATGATGAGTTTCATAAGTCTTTGATAAATTGTACTTGTAAATATAATATCTAAAAAGTTTAAAATATGTCTTGTTATTTAGAGTTAAATTCAACTGATTCATCTAAAGAAATTGATACAGATTATACACCACATCCTCAAACCAACACAGCGAGTCACATATCAAGTACCTCTGAATACCAAACTGAGGAAACAACAAAAAAAGATATCATTTCAACAGAAACAGAGTCTGCAAAAGAAGAGACATCCTCAGAGTCTAATAAATTACTTACAAGCTTAAAATCAACATACAAGCCAAGTTCTACTGCTACACCAGACATAACAAGATTTAATGAAACAACTGCCTCTAAGATCATTAATTATAGCACCTTATTTACTACAGACTCAACACCAGAATTTGACACTGAAACTACTAGCACTGACGAACAAGCATTCACAAAGAACAACAGTGCTTATAGCACTATAGGGTCTACAAAGGAAACTAATTTTGAAATAACTAGTTCCACACAACAAGAGTTAGAGACAAAGAACGGTAGTGATTACAGTACTATGAAATTTACAAAAGAAACTGAAATTGAAACAACTAGTGTCAATACTGAATTGATTACTACAAAGGATAATATTGATGACAGTACAATAAATCTCACTAATTCCACAAAAGAAGCTGAGATTGATACAACTAGTCCCACTGAGCAAGAGTTTGTGACAAAAAATAATTATTATTTTAGTACTATATATGTTACTAATTTTACAAAAGAAGCTGAAACTGAAACAACTGACTCTGACAGTCAGAATCACAGTACAAAGAATGACAGTGATTACAGTACTATGATTAGTACAAACTCAACAAGAGCAGAAATTGTTACATTTTCTGAATCACAGAAGTTTACATCAAAAAGTCAAACAGAAACAGAAAATGTAACAATGAAATACATATCAACAAATGCTGATAAATTCGAAACAACTTTCGATTACAAGTCAACCAGTGAAAAAAGTAATGACAGTATTGATACCACAACAGTAACTTCATCTAATAAGCAATCAACTATTGACGAAACGGAGCAGCCACTGGATTTTGAATGTCCATCAAGATTTGGGTTGTATCCTGATTTACATAACTGTTCCAGATTTTATCAGTGCTCTCAATGGATAGCAAATCACATGAATTGTCCACCAGAATTACATTATAATCCAGTCTTGCAAGTTTGTGATTGGCCTATTGATGCTGGTTGCGGTAAGTATATATCCCTCTATTGATTATAAGTGCATATTTTTATTTACAAAAACTATAAAAAAAACAGCTTCATTCTTCAGCTTCATTCAGAATGCTTTTTTTTTCTAAAAAAAATGGAGTATCAGTATATATTAGTCTGTTAATTAAGTTCTTTTGTTAATAAGACATAATTAATTTGCTTAGAAAAATTCAAATTCTAAATTTGTATAAAAATTTAATTAGAAGTTGTTTTTTTTTAAAACAATTCATTGATTCTAATTTTAAAATATCAAACAAAAAATTTAAGTACTTAGATAATCCTCAGTTGTCTTTCAAGGGGTTGTGGATATGGCTAAGAAAAAAATAAAATAAATAAAGTTTATTTTAACTACTGTGATCAAAAATTTCTCGGAATGGTGGTATAAAACAATTGGTTAAAATTTATCTTGTTCAATGCACTTCAGAAAACAATTTTTCAAATCAACAAAAATATGCTTTAAAATAATTTGAATTAATGGACTCAAAACGATGACAACGAAAAGGATATCTCAACCTTTGGAATAAGAAAAAATCAAACTAGAAAATATCTCCAACACAGAGCTTGTGGGGCAGTATTTGTTGAATGATTTGCCGAAATTGATTAATAATAACTGCAGTGTGAAAAGGCTCATTGATGCATACCCCATATGTTTATGTTGCATAAGTTTTTCAGCTACTACATTTCAGATCATTTTCAACAAATTGTACATAACAATCAAACAATAATCTTCATTGATTGTCTTGTCAGAATATAGGATTAATTGCACAATACAACGACAATCAAAGAAAAGAGTAAAGCTTATCTTGATTTTTAGGTTACTTTGATCAGGTCATTTTGGTGTCACTTCACCTTATATCAGTTCTATGACTTGAAAGATAGGTTGATCATGATTCGAAGTGAATGGCCGACCAAATGAGTTCATCTTCTACAGAGTTTTTATACAAAATAATAATCAAAAACTCGAGCTAAAGCAATTTAAACATTTGTAGTAAAAATCTCATAGCAAAAACAAAATTTAACACATAACTTTTAAAATTTTGGAAAATCATTAGAAAGAATTTTTTTTTTCTCAATAAAAACTAAACTACATACAATCTAAAAAATTAAATATCTTTTTGATTTATGGTTAAAGAAATCATGAAAATGCTTGTGATAAAAGTTTGGAAACAATATGTATAACAGATGAATTTAAAACAAAATATTCTTTTTAATCACAGCTGTCAAATTGTGTAAAAGCAGAGCTGGAAACATTAAAGGTAGATTTTGTTGTTGAAAGTATACAGAGACAGCCTTGGTCTGTACTGCAAATGAAGAACATGAAAATAGAAATTACTAAATAGTTCAAAGATACATTTCCTTTTGAGATTAGAAATAAGTTTTGATTTTTTAAAAAAATACTATAATTTTGGTCATTTTTTTTCATTAAAATAATCTTAAATATACAAAAATTAATAACTTGTTTTTGGAATAAAAAGTCTGATCCTATCATAGAATTTATGCAGCTTAACATACATAAAAATAATAGTAGTACAATCTGAGATGTTGTTGTCCATAATTATCTTTATTTAAATGGAAAAAAAATTAATAATCAAAAATTTTACAGACTGATATTAAAAAGCATACTTAAAATCCTAAAAACAAACAATGTATAGAAACTATCAATTAATTTTATCATTTTTAAAAATAGTCAATAAACTGAAGTAAAAACTAAGAAACTTTATTTGCAGAGAATATCACAGACATAGAATTTAATTCTGCAGAAAATGAAGAATCTGCTAATCTCACTGCTACAAGTAAAACTATAGATAAGCAATCAACAACTTTCTCAACAAAGCTAAATGATTATACAGATAAATCTTATCAACCAAACGATTCAGAGGAAGCATCTCCTACTTATGACAAAAACACGCATGAAAAAGAAGGTAGAGAAGAACTATCTACAGAAATTACACAGCAAGAAACCTCAACTCTAGGTACAACCAACGAAATAAAAGTAAGTTTTGAGTGTCCTTCAAGGTTTGGTTTGTTTCCTGACAAAAGCAACTGCTCAAGATTCTACCAATGCTCTCAATGGACATCTTATCCTAAACAGTGTTCACCCGGTCTTCATTTTGATGCAGATTTGAAAGTCTGTGATTCACCATACAAAGCTGGATGTGGTAAGTTCCTCAACTATTTCAATTAACTTTTCAGTCATATTATATCAAAACAATTGGATTAATTTTTAATATCATTATCTCCATTTGCAATCCATTTTTTGGATAAAGGTCTTCTCTGTCTAACTTGATTGTCTGTTCTTTAAGTTATATGATCAAAGCATTATCATTTTAGGTCCTTAATTCTTCCAATGATAGTTAAAAAATTTGTTATCTAATTCACACTACTTGTTTTCTCCTTTTCTTGTAATAAAAATTAAACAACTTTCCATACATCATTCACCATTTCCATTTTTGTGGTATTAAGCGTATGCATGGATTTGCTAACGAGAGTCTTTGCTTCATAAGTAAGTGTAAGTAATACAGATTGATTAAAAACTTTTCTCTTTACATAGGATGGCATATCACTCTTTAGTATGATGCTATTTTTGAAGAAGAAAAAAACACTAAGTGATTCTGATTCTTCTGATTAATTTTATTAATATTCTGATTCTTCTATATTTATTTTCTGATTCTTCTGATTAATTACTTTCATAAAATTAATTCTGATTAATTTTATGTAAAGTGTTGTATTTATTCTGGTTCCAAATTAATGTTATTCACTTTTTCTATAGTATAAGCAGTTATAGTTATTTAGGATTGCCCACCCTAATCTTAATATCACCACTAAAATAGAGATTAATAATATATTTTTTTAGCTTAATCTTTATTATTTATTAAATTTCAATTTAGTCTATTATATACTTCACTCATTACAGGTAAGAAAATATTATTTTATGAAAATGATTAAGATTAGGCGATATTGATTCTAATTCTTGCTGTCACCTAACTGTATATGTTTTAAAAGACAGTGTAAAATTTTCAATTCTGTTTTTCATCAAAGCATCCAGTACAGCAGACACACTAATGCTATAAAAACCTTCTAATTGCCAATAAAGAAAATTGAGAGAGGAATTTCACACTCTTATATCACTCGATTAGTTCCCAGATTGTTTGGATGTGATGTGGTACTAAAATTATAGCTGGAACTGGCTTGTTCTCAAGGCAGTGCTGAGCCCACAGGCTTTTGATTAATATTTTTGTGAATATCCTATAAACATCGCCTATAAGATTTTTTAACTCCAAATTAACCATAAAATAAAAATAATTTTAGAAAAAAAAATTTGACTACAAGAAAAATTTTCACTAATATATCCTCCTTATTTTTACCTCCATTTCATGTTGAAAGCAATATCTTAAAAACGAGTGTGCTAGCTATTTTTAGTCAACTATAAAATAGTGACTATTAAATTATTAAAAGTGAAAATTCATTTATTTTCTTAAATTCTTGGAATATTGCATACAAGTATTTTAAACTAGATTCATCCTAATAGTATAAGTATAATCACAATCATCAATGATTATTAAAAAATAATACTTTTTTTCACAGATAAATCTTTGATTACAAATGAAGAAGGGAGGAGCACCGAGAAGAAATAACATAAAAATGAAAGACACTGAAAGAAGTATAATGCAACAAAATTGTTAAGAATAACTCATTGTAAAAGCAGAAATACAAATAAAGCCCGAAATGCATGTCTATTGACAAATGTATATAAACTGTATGAAAAAATTAATCTGCAAATAAAAATTTACTTTTATTTTTAAGGTTATTTTCCAACTATAATCTAAGTTTGATATGCAACTATTTTTTGTATCATTTAAAAACATTTGAATCTTAAAAATAAATGCTACATATTCAACTAATATATTTTAAGAAAATATACTGAAAAAAAAAACTATTTAAATGCAATTTTCTTAACCTATGTTAAATGTCATCCTGTTTTTATAATCTAACAACAACAGGGGAAATTTGAACAGTTATTATTTTGAGGGATTACTCCTATTAATGCAAAATCAATAAATATTAAGTCATTAATTGCGTGCAAAAATCAAATAAAATAGTTTTATAGATACTAAACATTACAACAATATTAGTTAAACATGAAATATTGAGCCTTAGTTCCTTAAGCCTTAGTTAGTATAAAAGTCGAATGTTCGGACACATAGGAAATCAGGAAGGAGTGGAAAGGAAACACAGTTTATTGAAACGTGATAAAATAAGTGGTTTATCTTATCAGAAAAAAAAACTGAAAAAATGAGAAATAACGATGACCCAAAGGGTGAAAGAGAGGAAAATTTTACTAAAAAATAAGCAAATCTGGCAAAAAGGTGGAAAAATCTTATTCCTGTATGCAGAAAATTTGATGGAACTTGTCATTTTAATAGCTAACTTTAAAAAAAATTGTTTTAAATTTTTAAAATTTGTGTGTCAAATAAGATTATCATGTTTTTAATATAACTAACAAGTCAAAGGCGAATCAATCGATGTTATAAGAATTCCTCATACAAATATTAAAAATTCAATATGTAGGATTTTCTTCAATTTATATAAACACGTTTTTCATCTTTATAAAGGAAACAATATTCTTCATATTTTTGTAAATTATATTTAAAAAAAATCTAGTTTAAAAATGGCGTAACTGTAGGATTAAAAGGCAGAAAAAACTAAATTATATAAAATGAAATGATAGAAAAGAGGCTAAATTGAGTTTAGAAGAAATATAAAAATAATTTATGCACTAATCACTGTACAAATCATGAAAAATGAGTACTATTTGTAACAAATATTAAAGTTAAATAGTTACAGATTCATTAAACAAAATCTTCTTTAGCATCTATATGAAATGTTCCATGTCTACCAACACCTTGCACAAATTTTTCTGCACCTATTATGAAGGGGAAAGAAATATATAACTGTGTACACTATATAAAAGTAGAGGTAATGAGTAAGATAAATTGCATACACTACATAGTATTGCAGTTTCCAATTTTTATCAATTTTTAACAATCAATAAGAGCATAATCAACATTTTTCAGCATTTTCTCTAATGACAAATAAAATTATTTTTATCCATAAAATTATTTAATCAAAGATAATTGGTCCCATTTACAATTACAATAAGAAAAAAAAGGCATAGTTTTTATCAATGCAACGAAAAAATTTGTTCAAAGCTGTAGAGTTTATTCATAGTTTTTGCAAATCAAAATATCAAGATGGAATAAAAAGAGCAATCACTAGATTAAAGAAGTTTGCTTATATTGTTACTTCACTTGTTACAAGTCATTGCATTTTTGGGCAAACAGAACATTTAATTACTTTTTATACAAAATTTCATAAGAAATTGACAAATGAGTTTATATTTATGACCAGTTTTATGTACAAGTAAGAAGTAGCTCTAGTTCAGTTAAATCATAAACATAAACCCAAAAAAAGAGAGAATGACATTTATTTTTCCCAGTTATGCAATCAAAAGAGTTCAGAATCTCTTTTGAGAAGATTGAGCCCTCCAACATCACAAACTTATAATTTGCGCCTCACTAAACTCTTATAATTTTCTTTTAATCTCAACATGATTTATTATATTTGAAATTTAGGCATTACACGAAATTAATACAAATTTAATTAGTTTATAATTTTTCATTTTACCTAAAATATATTAAACAAGAATGATGTATTTTCTTACATTTACATTCTCCACAATGTTCAATTTCAATAACTCTAAACACCTGGTTTAAAAACTCCAATTTTAAAGTTAAAGATAACTTAATTACAATACTGATGCAGCAGTAATTTGTTAAAGGGCTGCATGCACCTCAACAAGAATGGTGTCTCAATTTAATAAACAGCAAAAATAAATTAACGGTAAAGCGAAAAATAAACTGAACTTAAATTTATGAATCCAAATAGTTTAGAGAGAACAATTTGTGCAATATGTAACCTTATTAATTAGAAATTACTTATTGTTGCTTATTGTGAACACATTAAATTTTTTAAAACTTATATCAGATTAAAACTCAAATTCAATTAAAATTCCAGAGTTGCAATAGATTGTAAACATAACAACTAGGCCTAAAATTTTAAACACAAACCAGAGTTAAAAAGCATTTCTCAGCTATTAAGGACATGCGGGATTAGAGCTAGGCCCATTCAATCGCTAAGATGATGTTAGTAATAATTGTAAATGTAGATATTTCATGTTGCATACCTTTTACTGACTCCAACTCAAGCACATGCTTAGAATTTTGATACTCAGATGCTAATGCCTCCTTTAAAGAATCTGAATTATAAGCAGAATTGTATGCTGATAACCTATCAGCTCGTAAACATTCTTGAGGAAACTTGCATAGACTGTTTGCTAAATTTAAAGCATTTCCTATAGCTAATAAATAATTAAAAATATTGTAACACTAATGGAAAAACAAAGTAAAATTACATCAATATGATATAAAAAATTTGAATATCCAATGAGGTAAATTAAAGCCAACTATATTATAAATTAAATGATTAATTATTCTTTTTTTCATATACACAACTAATACTCAAGAGTCAGAGAATTCTATTACCCACCCACTGGAGGGCGTTTCAGCTAGCATGGCAATTAGTTAGTTGTCTACTTTCTTCGAAGAAAAAAGATATTTATCATAATTTTTAATAAAGTTTGTAGATTAAAAAATATAAGAGAAGAAAGCTGCAACTGCAAAATTTTTTTGGGGATAGAAAACCCATAGTCAATAAGGGATGATAAACTTATAATTTAATTAATTAAATGAAGTTTTGGCAGAATTCATACTTCTAAGCTGCAAAGTATAAATACTAGTGTAATACTATAAAGTATATTACTATAACAACAATAAGTTGTTTTTATAAGGTTTTATAATGCCAAACTAATTATTTTGACAGCAAGTAGTAAATAAGTAATTATGTATTATTAACTTTAACTTGTTGTAATTTAGCTTCATAAATATTAATTGAAGTTACTTCCAATAATATATAATAATCAATATAAAATAATAAATTCATTTAAATAAGTTTGTGCCCAGTATTTCAATTTCCTTAGCATGCACAGTGTGCAAATAAAGTCTCAAAAAGCAGCCATGCGATGTTGCCGTCGCAAATGAGTAATTTAATATAATCATAGACAAATTCAAGAGAGCAATACCTAATTTTACACCGTTGCTAAGCAACCAAGTTCAGACAATAAAAAAATAATGCTTTGCAATTGTTTGGAGAGGCTCAACATTAATAGTTAATAGAAAAATATCTCAAAGTTTCTTGGCAAGACATTTTTGAGATGATTTTTTGATCAAAAAGCTAATACTGTTTTCCTGTTAATCTCTTTCGAAAAGAAAATTTGAATTGATTTATAAATTATGTATGATTTTCAAGTTTTTAGAATTGGTACATGTGCACTTGTCATTTGACATTACTTGTGTTTTTTACATTGTTTTTACTGTTATATGAGGATTTCATACCAAAATCAAATTTACGCAACTTTTTGTAATTATATAAAAAAAATTTTGAGATAATCACTTTTACAGCTTTGATTGAGTCTTTTAGGCAAGAAAGTTTAAAGAAACAAAAAGAAAAAGTGCCAGATAAAAATGTAGATGGTATTGCGATTCTAATGTACATTCACAAAGTTTTATACAATGTACACTATTTCTTTCCTATAACTGAAAAAATTTTAAGTGGCATTTTAAAAACAATTAAATATTTATGTTCACAAATCAAACAAACAATAAAGTAAATAATTTGTTTGTTCATTTTTTGAGAAAAAGGATGCGGTTATTTAATGTCATTTAATGTATTAGTCAGACATTTTGCTCCAGGTAATTTTAATATAGCAAAATGCTCTGTAATTCTTATCAGTTAACTGGCTATAGTTCTGAGACTAGAAAAAAACTTGATAATTATTTAGAACGAGAGTTAATTCAAAGAAAAACTTTAAGTACTAATAAAAATTAAACAAAACAGATCAGTGTATTATTGGAAATAATCTACATAGTAGAATAAAGAAAGAGAATTTGAAAAATGCAAAAGCATAATCAAATAACTGTTTGAAGAGTTCTGTGAATCATAGGATGCTATGTTTAATTTTGAAATTAAGATGTTAGGATGATATATATGATACTGAGATATTTTAAGACACTTAAAAATTTACATCAATATTTCAGATAATCGTTGTTGATATCAAACGTTAGGTATAAGACCATATTAAGATACTTTTTTCATAACTAGTATCTTCGTTTATATTGTTATTGTTTAGTTATTAAAATATATATTGAATGATTCATAAATATATTATTCCTACTAAATGCTTCCATTCAATTAGAACTTTAGATTTCACCACAGAATAATATGTAATTCAATATGATAAAACATTTTATGGTTCATGTTTCAAAATTATTTTGTTCAGTATTAAATTAAACAATAAAAAATAAGAAATAATTATTAAAAATTATTTTTTGCAAAAAATTATCTTGAAGTGAACGAGTCTCATGATTGGGTGAAATTTTTTTTTTTAAATTGTGCAATTAGTTTCAAAGATATGACCAAAAAGGTAAAAAGTGAGATTAACATTAAGGGAACCAAACTTTCAACTGCTTTTCAGACTAAACTATTAAGATCATGATTTCAGGAGTTAGAAATCCAAATAAGAAAAAAAAATATATGTTCATTTATGGAAAGTGCATGTTTGAGTCTGATTTCATAACTTAATCAATAGTTACTACTAATTAATTAGCATTTTTGAAGTCACTTCCAATAACCATTAAGATTGTCACTTAGTATGTGAAAATCTGATCATTAGAATGAAAGTTATTTAGGGTGATGTCTTTTTCATTTAGCGCACTGCACATAGTACAGAAAGGTAATTCTCTAAATCAGTCATTTTTTATTTCATTTAACTCTTCTTAGAAAACAATACATCATTCTAAAATAGAATGGTTTTGTTTAATAAAATATCTATCTAAAAATATCTAAGTATCAAAACTGATAAACTTAAATCTTAGAATTAAAGTGATTATAAAAGACTTTTGAAATTTCAAATAGAAACATGAAAGATTTGCCAGTAAAATTCTAATTTTTCCCTGTTTATGGCCACCTTGCAAAAAGAGTTAATGGTCAAAGCAATAAGCATTGTGTAAATTAAATTTTTACTTCTAATTGCAGAGAAGACATTGTTAGAAAGAAATATTGCAAATGAAATTGAATAAAACTAAATGTTAGTTTACATATTATATTACACACACGCTAAATTTTAAATCAAATTAATAATTATTAAAAATTACCTGTACCACATGCTGTTATTTTTGTAGCAAGCCCTAGTTCAAAAGCTTCTTTTGCATTAATTGATCTGCCGGTAAGTATTAGGTCTAAGGCACGAGGCAAACCAATCATTTGAGGTAATCTAACAGTGCCACCATCAATGAGAGGAACACCTTAAACAAAATCATTTTTAGAATAAAGCAGTTAACAAAAACACTTTAAACAATGGTTTAAACAATGGAGATACAGAAAATGACATTACGTGATATTAGTTATAGATAGAATAGAAATAAATATAGTGAAAACTAAATAATTTTAGCGTTACAAATTTTAAAATATTTGTATAGTTTTACAAATATTCTTTGTTTATCAGTCCCTAAATAAACAGTTTAATTCGAAAATTTGCTAGAAAGGTGTGTAACTCTGACATAATTTAGAGAGCAAATAACACCTAATGTATTTCTTATGGAATGCTCAGTTTGGAGCCTATTTACCAATGTGGTGATACTTGGCAACAAAACGATACTTCTAAAAACTTTGAGTTTCAAAGCAGTTGAACCAATATTTATGGTTTAAAATGATGTCCATATATGTCATCGCCAAGTCTACATGAGTGTACTTCTTCGGAGTACTAGTAGTCTGCTCGTGACTATAGTATTGTTCTCACCTGAGTTAGATCATTGATCTAAGGTTGTAAAGTCCGTCTTTTGCTACACTACACTGTTATTTGAGCAGTAATTAAGTGCTATAAATACTTGCATTTCTGAAAGTTTTTAATAATAAATTTTTGGAGCAATAAGGACTTTTTCAATTATCTCCAATTAAAACAAGCCCCCGTGCTCTGCACAATAGATAAAAGACATTAACTGTATAGTTACACATAGCACAATCCATGGTCAGGCACTAAGCACTATTTTTTAGGTAAGCTCTATTTTTAATAGAGCAACAACAACCACATAATTTTTTACTTCCGTGTATTACTGTACCAAATTTACTTTCAGCCATGAAATATTTAATTTACTTGCATGGCAAATTTAACACTGCATAGTTAAAAAGACAGGCATGCATATTTATCATAAGTGATTGAAAGTCGGTCAGTATAATATCAAAGTAGCACAATATATAATTTTAATCTAATGAGAAAATTTGATAAATTTTTAATGAAAAAACCAATAAAGCAGAGAAAAAGTTTTTATAATAAGTACTTAAGTAATTTGTGAGTTAAAATTTTTAAATGCTAAAATTTTTTTGTCAAACTGAAGTTTTTTTTTTTGATGCTGCTCTGTTTTTAGCTTAATCAATTAAGTGTAATTTACTAGTTTTCTAAAAAATTACTTAACTAACCAAACCTCCTATTGAAAAATCCCATAACAGCCGTTTCATCAATTACTCGTAGATCACACCATAGAGCCATTTCAAAACCTCCACCAACAGCATATCCATTAACAGCAGCTACAACTGGTTTCTTTAGTAGCATTCTAGTTGGCCCCTTAATAAATAACCAAGTAATAAATAATATGAAAAAAGAGAAAGAAAAATAATGTTATTTGAATATAATTATTAAATTGATTGAGTTATTTAAGTTAATTTTAGCTTAAAAATAAAGCTTTAAATAAAAATTAAGTTTTCAAAATAAATAAAAATAAAGCCTTACTCATTTTCCATTTAATATTTCAGCATTTTATCAAGCTTTTTTCTAGCAAATTAAACAGGTTTTACCTCATGTATATTATTGAGGCCTACACAAATTAGGAGCATAGGCGTCTGAACAAAGTTGTGGTAGCTATTTGTTATTCAGATATTTAAATAAAACAAATTTCTTTTTTATTCCTTAATATCTTCTAAAAATAAATAGCTGTTCCTCTATGGCATTTTCTTGCATGTTAAATATATTATTATTATTGTTTATCATAGATCGCAACTGATAAAAACAGTTTAGTAAATATATATATATCATACAATATGTGGTTGACGGAAATGGCATCAGGCAGGGTTAAATAGAATACTAATTTGTTTACACTTGATTTTCACAGATTCACAAGAATTATAAAAGATAATCATAAAAGCTCAAAATAGAAAAAAATATATGTTGTACACAAATAATATTAGAAAACATTATAGAAAGTAATGAATACCATAGGTCCTGTTTCAGCTGATAATTCACTCAAACTTTTTCCTTCAGCTACTTCATTCAAGTCATAACCAGAACAGAAATTTCCACCTACAAATAAAATGTTAACATAAACTTAAGATATACATACATTAGTAAATGAACTCTAAACTAATAGTTTTGTATAAATCAAACACAAAATTCCCACAAAATAAAAGGGAAGAATATAAAATATGAATTTATGTTCAAGCAGCTGTTTGCAAAACCATCAAAATCTGAAATTTAGAACCTATTGCAAAGAAAAATAAATTTTGTAATTAGAACTATTTTATTAATAATGTGCTTAGTTTTAGCAATTGACAAGACTTTTGCTCAACGTAAGTTAGAGAAACAGAGGAGATTTCAAGCCCAACTCAAAAATCCTGAAAATTTCTTGAGTAAAATAATTAAAGACGCATTTCAAAAAATTCATGTCTTTATAAATTTAAATCATTGATATTTTCATATTCTAAATAAATGATATGCAACATAATTTAAATAAATAATTATGCATAAGTTCACTTTTATGTCTAATCAGATTTATTATTCTACCAGTGAAAGAGATGAGACATTTACAAATATTTACAAATGAAAGAGATACCAAGAGATATTTACAAATGAAAGAGATATTTACAAATGAAAGAGATACCAAGTACAAATTCTAGTTCTAATATTTTTAAACAAACTATACAAAAATAACTATACAAACTATACACAAACATGATAGATAATTTCTTGAAACTTCTGGAACATGGATTTCCGGACACGTCTGGATGGCGATTAGCGGAAAATCCATAAATCTGGATTTGTTCCAGAGTACAATCATCTTTGGAGAAAACAGGTAATTACAAGTTTAAATAAATGTATAAAAAGTGTTATAGTTAAAAATAATCAAATGAGGACAATTCCATTTGTGACGGAATGGCATTTTGACTTGCAAAATAATACTTAAATGGAGATTCTATGCATCGAATTCCAAATAAACAAAAAAATTTTCGCGTGTATATCATTATTACTGGCAGAATGTGATTCAATAAGGGGAGAAAAAAAACATTTTTCTATTTTTTTCCCTGTAATTTAATGAATTTTTTGTTTGTGTGACTTGGCAATCAAGCTTTCAGCATGCTGCTTAGAGCTGACAGTTTCAGTGAATTATGCAGCCATTATTTTTCCGAACAACTTTTTACTTTCAATATAATGTGTAAGCATTGTAAAATGTGAATTTGAAAAATTTACCTCAGGTTAGCAATAACATCTATTTGTTGTGACAAAATGACTGTCAGAATGACAAACAATTAAAATTATGCCTCCTGTAAAAAAGTGTCTACGTCATGAATTTTTTTTTTTAGGTGTAAATGATAAACATAATGTAGCTGGTAAACAGAATTAGTTTGCAAGTAACTGATAAACAGAATTAGTTTAAACTATTCATTCACAATTTAAAGGTTCTTCAAATACATAGTGGGTACCATTTCTAAAAATTTGAAAATTAGGTTGCTCTAACCTGGTTAACCTAGGTCAGGGGTGGCAAACCTTTATACACCAACGTGCCATTTTTTCTAAAAAATTGTTTAATGAAATCACAGACGTGCCGTCAAATAATTTTGACTTCATGATTATTGGGAAAATAATAATACTAAATACTATCAACTCAAAACTCTTTATTTAAATTGAAAAGAAAATACACTTTGCTATGTCTCAGTTATACGCGTAATTCAACTTGAAGTAGCATCAGTGGGACTTCTGTTATTGCAGATTAAATGACAAATAACTTATATTAGGTTGTAAGATATTAGTTTAAGCAGGACTGTTGATTTTTTTGCTAGTTATTTATTGTTAGCTTGTTTTTTATGGTTATTAATTGTTCCTTTAGCATTAATTGTAAATTTTTTTATTAATAATTGTTTATTATTTTGTTTGTTTTTTGTGAATTTTAATTTAATTGTTACATATGCTTCATAGTGTGTGACATTTGTGTAATAACAATTCATAGTGCAATAACAATTGTGATTGGTGGCGTGCCTAAAATATTGTGTCGCGTACCATAAATGGCACGCGTGCCATGGGTTCGCCATCCCTGACCTAGGTTATATCTAACCTGGCAGTGACACATCTATATTCTTTTTTGGGAAAGGTATATACAAATCCATTCTTATCCCATCTTCTTAGATTTAGTACTTCAACATCTGAATCCTCTTTGTCTATCAAATTAATTTATATAATACCAGGGGTCAGTCCAGACATTTTGTGAAAGGTCCGTTTTTCGTGAAATTGTGAAAAAATTACTCACATTCTTTCAGTCAGGGTACGTTTTTATGAATTTGTAAAAATAGTGTCTGGTTATTTCAAAAAACTTTTTCATGGAGTTTTTAAATTGTAAATAGATACAAGATTATGCTCGGCAGTGTAAAATTTTAAAAAAAAAATTTAATTTTCAAAAATAAACAGCAATTGCTGCTTTTAAATTAGAGATGTAACATGCAAATATTTCATATTTAGCCTATACTGCTGAACGCAGAATATTCATTTTGAACCAATAATGGAAGAATCGTCTGCCGAAGACAAAACTTAATTCGTTTACATCCATCTTTCTTGTTTTCGGCCCTGGGAAGGATTTATTCGATTAACAAAACAATAATGAAGATAAACAAATTTGTGAAGGGTCTGATTAAAAGAAAAAACATTTTGTGAAGGGTCTTGTTTCTAAGTTAAAATATTTTGTGAAGGTTCCGTTAACGGACCCAAATTTCCTCTAAACAGACCCCTGAATACATATAAAAGTTCCTCTTTTTTATTTTTCCACAGTATAAGGCAATAATAAAAGAGCCTACCTCATACTCCTCAGACATGCTTTCGATTTCTTTTTCAATAAACAGGCCTTCTTTTAATTAATTGCAAGCTTAATTTAAATTGCAAACACAAAATAAAAGCAAGGTTTTTTAGAATCAAAATAAATTACCTTTGCCATATAAAACTGCAGCATAAGCATCATTATCCTCTTCAAATAATTCAAATGCTTTAATTAACTGTTTAGATGTCTCTGTATTAATGGCATTTCTCTTCTCAGGCCTATTAATGCCAATAAGATGCAACTTTTTCAGCTTTGTAACAACCACCACGTCTGAAATAAATATAATATGATAAATTCAGTGTGATGAAATAAATATAATAAGATAATTATATTTGCACAATTCACAAATATAGTATTAAGTTTACTGTTAAAAAAAGTTACCGCTGAAATTAAATACTAATATTATTTGCCTCAAAATTTCTAAATACGTGCGTGGCCCTTTATTAGTTAATCTGGTGTAAGTGGCCCTTCACTGAAGAAGGTTGGGGGATATTTCTGTATCATGATCTATCTTGCCAACAACAATCGTCAAGATGCCAAATAGATTTTAAACTTGCAAATTTTTTTCAAAATAACTTGTAGATGTTTGCCCGGAGGTGGCTACGAGTTATACCTTTTGAGTTGGTCCCTTTCTGTAATATTTTTTTTAGTTTCTCGGGGGCCACTGCCCAGAAGTTTCCAAGACTTGGCGATAGTTCTGCCACAGATCACGATACGGAAATCTCTCCAAAGGTTGAGCATCTCTATTTTAAACTTAAAAAATAGAGAAAAAAAATTTAGAAGCATGCCTAGAAATTGCAACGAGTTATACTCTTCGAGTTGGTTCTCTACTGTGATGTTTTTATTTTTAGTTTCGCACGGACTGTCGCTTGAAAGTGGCCAAAACATGGTTACAAATCATTGTTAGGGATCTGTCTAGGTCAAATTTACTACCATTTAGCGGTACTTTCACAAATTAAACTTTAGGAAAAATGGAAGTTTCACAAAATATTTTATCTTAAAATTTTATTTTTGTATCTCATAAGAAACGATAAATCCATATTTTTGGGTTGATTATTTCAATATAATTTTCACAAATTATGTCTAAATTTTCACAAATAGGTACCTCTCAAAAAAAACTAGACACACCCCTGATTATTCTGCGGCAGATCACAATATGGAAATCTTCCCCAAATAATGTTCTTTACTTTCATTGCCTGAAATATAACTATTATTCAACTTAGAAAAGCACTTTTTGAAGTATCTAATAGCATAGTATATAAAATTGCTAAATTAAGTTATAATATAAACAATATTAAAATAAAATTAAATGTACTTATTATACTGAAACATTATAATTAAACAATATTATATTAAACAAATTAAGTGCAACCTTCTGAACTACTTGAGCAGAATTCTTTCTGAAATGTCGAAAATGCACTTAAACGGGAAATCTTAAGTGTTCTTATAAATTTTAATGCCGAATACATAGCAATAACTTAGTTAAATGGAAGTTAGTAAAGATTCTGAACAATAAGCAAATTATATTCTTTTTATTAAGTGAAAATATATTTTTTTTAACAATCAAAAGAGGCAATGTTAAGTAATAGTTTAAAAATTAAAATGAAATATTTTTAAAAATCATGTTTGTTTACTTTATTGTTCAATGGGTTTAAGCTACTTATTTCTGCCCTGATATATATGTGAGAATTTTGAAATTAAATATTAAGGCTTTATAGCCCTAAAACAAAACAGGGTCGTTCTAACTGCATATCGTTTAAACCTTTCTGAGAGCCTTCGAGAAAAATGGAGAATGTGATTGATTAGCTTTTGAGGGAAGATTATATTTCCCCGATCTGATTAAATATATATCTCACTTGACGAAATTCATAAACGTGTGAATTGCATGCAAAGTAAACAGACCTTTGACAGTTTTCAATTGTCCCAGTTTACACAAATGCGTAAGAGGTAACTATCACTGCATCTGCGATAGCATCTGAAACCTCGCGCTTTCGAACGGATTTTGCTAACGGGCTGCGATCTTCATTTTCCCTCCCATCTATCGGAAAGCTTTCACCTAACAATTTGCTGGTGAAAGCGATTCGAACGTTCGAATAGGATGCGTTTAACGCTGGGATTAAATTAGATTTCCGATTTCAAAGATAATTTTTACCCAGATATTTTATGATTTTTTATAATCATTTACCTAGATATTTTATGAATATATTTCAGACATAATTTTTTCTCTCACAAATTTATTATTTCATATAATANTCACTCAGATCTGAGTGAGTGCAGTTGCGTCACATTCGATTACCACAGAGGAAAGCGAAGGATTTGGGAAATATATTTTTGCTGCATAAAAAAAACTCACAAATCATGTAATATTTCCTCATCGGAAATTGAAAATGCAGAAACGGCATTCAGTAAAAGTAGCTGTGCACTGCGAGGATACATTCGTTTGTTCATGAAAATGACCATATGTAGTTTTTAAATATTCGTACTTGCACGTGAGAAAAAAAATTGCTTAGGCTCATTTTATTCGAAAAATATATATTTAAATAAAACACTTACAACACTTTTAAATAAAACACTTACAACACATTTAAATAAAACACTTACAAGTACGTGATATTTTTGCGGTCCATCATTCAATGACGTCACTGCCTTCGCGATAACTTTAGTTTTCATTTATGCAACTGATTCTTTTTTTATTTACATATATATTCATTTATTTTCATATTGCGAACTTCGAGTGGGGCCTCTGATTAAAAACTAACCAGCATCCTAATAGGTACGTTTTTTGCGGGATCACCTATCAGGTTCTCTCCCGAATCTCCAAATTCTACGAGTTCCGCAGTGGACTGATCGTTAAGACACGGTTCCCAGCAGATCACCGAAGTCAAGCATCACTGGCTGCGGTTAATGTGCGGGTGGGTGACCACTTGGGTCAGTCTACGTAGGGGCCGAGGGTGTGCGATACTGGTCCTCGTTAAACTGTTCTACCGTAAAATGCTCTACTTCGCGTGCAGGTCGTTGGGTTACCGAAGCGGGGGTGCCATCCCCTCTGCTGAGGATCAAAATTGTGATGGCATGTCTTCGGATCATCCACAGGGATGCTTCCCAGACCGTCGCCAATAGCCCACTGTGCAGCTCTAGTGCAACGTAAATGAACTACAACAACAGCAACAACCAAATTCTACGAGAATTTTTCGCATACAGTATGAATGGCCTTGGACACAAATGCGGATACATTCTCAAAGCATATGAGTTACATGTGAGATCAAATACACAATAACTTCTAAGACTTAATCCTCTTAAGAAAAATAGTAGCTTATTAAAAATTTTATTCGCTTAAGAATTATTTTTACTTTGAAGTTTTTTTTATTTTTTTTTTATTTTTAATACTTTATCGGTAAAATGACAAATCCAGCATTCCATACAATGTTGAAAATTAACCAGCAAAGTATGGATGATTAAACATTTCTCATTTTACCTAGGTATACTAAGCAGTATACAATGCTCAATGACGAACCGGCAAGATTAAAAAATGATTATGCATCTTATTTTTAATAGAAAAAAACTGCTTTTAGGGTCCCTATTTTATTCTATTTTTTTAATTTATCTTTTATTCAATAAGAAAGCTCTACATTTCGATTGTTAATATGAACTGGGATGGTAACCTGATAGGGAAGTGTATACCATTACCAGCCAAATATTTGCAAGGCATTTCTTACATCTTTTTTCAACATTAAATATTACCTTAAAAAGATGTATAGAAGATGAATAGGAATAACCCCAGTATAATTTTGTCCGATTTTTCTTATGTTTTTTCAAGGTTAATAGGCAATTATTCGGTAATACACTGATATTTTTTCAAGTTTAAAAGCCATTGCCTGGTAATTCATACACTTATGTTTTTTTTTCCTAAAATATTTTTAAGTTTAATAGCTATCCGCAGTTTCCTTAGACTGATAATTTTCTTCAACTGTAAAAAATTTATAATCGTAAACTGATCGCACTAAATTAAAATTTGACGTGCACTGAAAAAAAAAAGAAAAAGAAATTATCTACCGTTTCATTCTTTCCGGCGGAATTCGAACTCCGATTCTCACGAACAAGAGTCCAACGTCCTACCCAACTAGACTATCCCCGTCCTTTAGAATTTCTAGTCATCCAAATATCGTTCGAGAACTTTAATTTAATTTAATTTAATTTATTCTTATAAATATTATAAATCTTAATTTACTTTCTTAAAAAATGAAGCTTTTTATTCTGATAGCTTATAATTTTTATACAAACGAAGGCCCTCGTATGGAAACCTTGCTCAATGAGGTTAGTTTAAACACGCGCTTAGTCAAATCTTAAAAGCTAGCCCGCAACTGTGCTAAAGTAGTAAAAGAGCGAAACTGCTAGTATATTGTATCAATCTCAAACACTAAAATCTTCAGCACGATCAAAGACCAGACTAAAGTCTTTGTAGATAGATTTCAAATAAAAAAAACTTTAAGCCACCTATATTTAATTGGGTATAATATGAAAAAAGCACAACTACTTCCACTCCGAAAATTTTTCTAGGAATAATATTTACCTTTTAGTTTAATTAAAAAGCTGAGTTTTAAATATGTTTACTAAATTCATAAACTTAGACAAAACAACAAAATAAATTATTTCAAAAGGAACTAGACTAATACATTTCCAACCTGACAAGTAGCGACTCATAACAACACATTTCGTTTAATGTTTACTTGTCGCTAGAAATCAGGTTCGCAGTAAATGCTGTTTACTAGTTAAATTTAGTAGGAATAACACGACCTGTGACGTAGGCTATAGTATACCCAATTGTTTTAGAAAAGTTAATGTTCCAACTACATTTAAAAAGAATAAATATATAACAGCTGCATTTCGGATAAATATATAGCAGGCAGCTGCATTTAGCATATATATATATA